TTAATTCAATTTTACAGTTTTTTACTTGAATTATGAGCTTCTGCTGTGCATCTTGTAGTCCAGTTTGGTGTATTCACGTCCTCTCTGGGTCTGCTTGGTCATCTTGCATGTGTATGGGAACGTGTTGATGCTTTGATGGATGGCGTTTCAATCACTCACAAAACAGAGCGGTAGCCATAGCCTGTAGAAGGTGCTGATGCACCCACCATAGCTACAAGAGAAAGAAGAGGGGAGATAGGAGGTAGAGTCCAAGGCTTTGGGAGGAAGAGGAAGCTTCCCTGGGATAGAGTCTCAACTCGGAGTGCTCTGCCATAGCTGGTACCGTCTTCACCCGAATAGAACACCCAGTCATTATAGCTGCAGTTGGCACAACTTTCGGTCCAGATGCAGCGATAATGACCAGGCGTTCTCTTCGGGTGAAGACGGTAGGGAGAAGACCAGTGGTTGCATGTGCTCCACATTCTGAGTCCAAGCCTCAGATGCGGTGTTGCGGACTACCTTCTCCCCCCGAATACAATGCATGGTCACCATAGCTGTGTATTTAGACTGAAAGATACCCCAAATACCGCTAAAATGACCATACGACGTACGTTGTATTCGGGGGAAGAAGGTACAGCTTGTCTGGCACCATAAAGAGGAGGGTCAGATGTGGAGATAGGAAGGAGGGGATAGCCATTGCACAAGAGAGTTGGCAGGGGGGAGTAGGAAGCTTACCTGCTTACTGGCAGCCATAGATAACTCAGGATGAAGATTTGAAGAGGAGGGGGAGGGAGAGGGAGGGAGATTAGCGTTCATCACCCAGTAGTTCATATTTATTCAATCTCATATACGTCTGAGGATAAGGGCCAGTACCTCATCCTGTTGGTGCTCAATGGACCAGCGCGCGCGGCAATCGAGGTAGCAAAACTGCTACGAGCAGCAGACAAGTGTCATCGTCACACAGGGGTTGTGTTGAGGGAAGCCAGATTTCAGAAAACTGTGCGTGTTATACAGAGAGTGCGGCAGTTGTGCTCGTGAGGTCAGGGGGGGGATGAGAGGAAGGTCAGCAGACTCACCATAGCTTCCGGAAGGCAATGTGGTCATGATTTGGGACAAGAAGTCTCCATGCTGCTGCAGAAGATTGGCATTGGCATTTTCAGTTCCAGCGTCATTGTGCTAGCCTGGAATAGCCAGCGCGCGCTGTAGAGAGGTTAGTGGACTTGGCAAGTGACATTGTGTCCAGGAGATGGGTGGTGAAGGAGTCGAGAAATACGAGCCATTGGTGGGTGCAGTGAGGTGGTGAGAAGGATTGCCGTAGGAAGGAGAGGGAGAACCCGGAGAAAGCAGTCTGAACATTGTATTCATTGTTTATTAACTTTATTTGCATTGTTAAGACAGACAACTACATGCCCTTGATCTTCTTCTTCACATAGTATTATCTTCTTTTTTTTACTCTGGCAATTTTCTTGTCAGAAGGGCCTTTACGAATTCAGAACCCAAATGGTGATTGCAGCATAATGGGGCCTGTTCGGCCAAAACTCAATTTCGTGAAAAGCATTCCAAAGGACAAGTTCCCTGAGCCAGAAGTCACATCCAGATTGAAATGAGAAGTCGTTTCAAAAGTCACAGTCAGGTCCTTAGGCGAACAGGTGTTACATTTAATTTTAGAACTAAGGTAAGGTCACGTCTGTTCGTCCAGAAGTCAAGAGGCACAGTCCCAGCCCAGTCGCAGTCCCACAGGTCATTTCTGACTCAGACCGGAAGTCCGAAAGTCACGCCCGAGCAGCAGACCCTGGGGAAAAGGTACTGGGACACACACTTTGCAACAACCGGTACTGGGGAAGAGTCCCAGGCAGAGGGAGGCTGAAAGTAGACCTCGCCAGACCAGTCCAGCAGTATAAAGGACGGGTCAACCTCCTCATTCGGCAGATACTCATTGGCACAAGTGTGTGGAAGTGCCGAAGCACTTGTGCGCAGGATGCTAGTGAGCAGCGCTAGGCTTGCGAGCTGCGCTAGTAAGAAGAAGGGAGCTGGGCGCCGGCTTGGACAGGCAGCCATAGCTGCGCCAGTAAGAGCTGGTAGTAAAAGAGGGGTTAGTCATAGCGGTACCAGTGAGTAGTATTCAGAGTAGATTCTCATGTAATAGGGAGTGTGCTTGCATGATGAGTGAGAATAGACCAGGACTATAGACAAAAGGAGAGAAGAGAAAGATCAAGGGGGAAGGGGTGAGCTATGGTGATACCTACCTGTTGAGCGCTGTTGTTGAATGTTAGGCAGTTGGTGCTGACGAGCGCCAGGCCTGGAAACTCGTGTCAATTGAAGAAGAGTTGTAACTCTGTTCGGCGCTGTACATTTTTGGACTCTTGATGTTCTCTCTTTATTCTGGGTTTGAGAATTGAGTTAAGCTTCCTGGTCCTCATTCATCTTCTATTGGGCTTTGTGTGAGACATCGCAATCTGTGAAATCTGTATAAATGCATGTGAACTGATGCACTCCAGCAACTTCAGCAAGTGATGAACAGTCGGGTTCCTTGCATTGTTACCATTGAGTTGAGCAGAGTGTGTCAATGAGAGATTGGATTGTGAGTTTCTGAAGTTGGGCTCATTATAAATGTGGTAGCATTTTGAAATTCACGCGTTTTCCGTCCATTCAGACTCAACATTCACCTAGCCATGGTAACTCATGCGATTGAAATTCAGGCATTGCTTGCTCATCTCGAACTCAATGGTCACACTTCTTTCTTGACAGTTGTTGTGACTTCACTCATGCTGCCACTGCTGCCGCTGCTGCCGCTGGAATCTTTGTGTCATGACTCCCTGACGAGTCCCATCCTGCTCTCTCTCTCTCTCTCTCTCTCTCTCTCTCTCTCTCTCTCTCTCTCTCTCTCTCTCTCTCTCTCTCTCTCTCTCTCTCTCTC